GTAATGTGACCCATAAGCGCACTTATTTAGTGCATTTCCAAACAACCCTGATTAATCTAACTAATTTTAGAATCAAAACCACAATCAAAGTAAATAAAAATTGGACCAAATCGACAATTTAGATTAAATTGGATTGATTTACCAGTTTTATCAATTTTTTTAAACACCTCTAATTAATCTAACTCGAACTCAACTCCAAACTCAATAGTGAAAATCTTTTTGGCTATTATTTACATTGTTTAATTTTTTTTTCATATTATTTAAATAAATAATAAACAATCTGAATTTATTTGAGTTCAAACTCGTCTTGACTCATTTTTACTCCACGAATTAAGTCAAATCCTATAAAATTAAGTCAAATTTGACTCTTTATTAAATCAAAATTACGATCAATTCAATTCATTTACAAACGTAGTTTAGAGGAATAGTTAGCAAAGTTAATGGCATGGCATGCATGTTAGGAATCTTAAAATCCTCGTCATGTGATTTTTAGGATTTTTGGCATGTTTCTGTATGATCTCATGCATATCCACGGCCTCCTCCATTTCTTTTTTTTTTTTTTAATTTCCTTTCTTGTCTTTTATTTTTCTGTTGTCAATAATGTTTCATTATTACCAGCTCAGCTGTATAATTATTTTAAAGATATAAACTACATTGAATATCCTTGATATTAGAAGAAAAAAAAATCTAATAAAATTTAATATAATTATATCGACTTTCTGTTTTATAAGATTAAAGAAAACCAAACTAGTGTAGGTGATAGGTAAACATAGATATAATCAATATATTTTAATATAAAATAGATGATAATATCAATATAGAAAAACTAGTTATGTGTGTGAATTTAAAAAACTTTAAAAGAGCACAACATAGACGTCTACCCATTGAGATTCAACGTAATTTTTTCAAATTTCAAACAAGATTAATATAATTTATTCTTATTTAAATAAAAAATTATGAATTTTGTTACGCTTGCGATTCACACTCTCACAATATTTGATTCATTGGAATAAAATATAGTATAATGATTGTGTGAGTGATTTTCTGACCACATTGCCAACTCAGTATTCAGTTGGAGAACACTGGCAGAACAGATGGCACCTGGCTGACCTGCGACAGAAAGAGAAGACTTCGGTGGTGGTTCGTCCACCCGGGGGCACTCCGACGATCAAGTCAGTACATCTCTCATAGATAATCAATAGCTAAACTCATAAGCTTGAGCATAAAAGCATACTTTAGACCAATCGGGGTGCCTCTCTTTTATAGCCAATACAATCCTAGTCCCAATAGGAGCCTAGCCGTAATGGATTTAAGATTACTGCTAATCTGGGACTCCCAGTGGGATTAGAATAAACTCTCTAAGAGTCTTATCTTTACCCAAACTAAAGTCTTCTCCCAATCTAGGACTCTTGTCCTATATCCACTTATCTCGGATTCCGGTATCCTCACAGATAACCTCGGCCTAGCCGAGATAACCTCGGCATCATGACCAGGACATGTGGCACCTCGGCTGACACATCGGCGTCACCTTGGCCACGTGTTGGTGCTCAGTAAATATATCCCTACAACTGCCCCCTAGGTTCTATAACCTCGATGGAACCTATATCGGTACTACTTTCCAGTACGTCGGCTTAAAGTATCGCAGCCGAGATCATCGTTAAGGCCGACATGTCTCTTCAAAGAACAAGAATTCCAAGAACCCGTTCACGCGTATGAACTGTCATACATAAGCTCGGTTTAACTTTAACTTGTAAACTTTTCTCAAGTTTCAACAAGTGTTAAACAATGATCTCAGTTTAACTTCAACTTGTAAATTGCTACAAATTTCAACAAGTGTTAAACATCATCTCGGTTTAACTTCAACTTGTAAATTGCTACAAATTTCAACAAGTGTTAAACATAACATCGGTTTAACTTCAACTTGTAAATTGCTACAAATTTCAACAAGTGTTAAACATCATTTATAACTTTCTGCCCCCTAATGTGGACTTATGTTCACATTAAGCTTGTGCATGTGATCTTGTTCACCGAAGTTGGTTGTTAGCCTTGATTTCTCTGTTGATCTTACTTGGTTTCAACCTGAGTTTGATTCTGCCGACATGGCAAGCCTATGTTACTTCAACTTAGTTCAACTCCATTATATGCAAGATTCGACTCTGCCATATAATGAGTCTAAGTTATTCATCATTACCTCGGCCTCGCATCAGCGAGCCGTTTTTCTTCTCGGACTTAAGTGCCGAGATCTTGTCTTCTAGAATCTTAGATCTGCTCACTCAGGTTGAGTTTTTCTCTTCTCGAACCTATTCATCCAGGCTGAGACATGTTTTCTGGAATCTTGGATCTGCTCACCTAGGTTGAACTCTTCTCTTCTCGGACCTGCTTATTTAGGCCGAGATCTTGTCTTTCGGGATCTGGGGTCCGAGGCCTGAAATCCAGGATCTGCTCACTTAGGCTGAGCTCTTCTATACTTGAATGTCATCTCCTTGGGAGCGCTCATGCCCCCTGTCTTCGCGTCCTTTCTAGAAGGGTCTTCATTCCGTTTATGTCAACAAACTCTCCATCTTTGCTAAACTCGTCGTTTTTAACATGTTGATCTTGTACGGTGATGGCCATCTATTCTCCTTTCATTCCCACAGACGGCGCCAAATTATGTGAGTGATTTTCTGACCACACTGCCAACTCAGTATTCAGCTGGAGAGCACTGGCAGAATAGATGGCACCTGGCTGACCTGCGACAGAAAAAAAAGACTCCGGTGGTGGTTCGTCCACCCGAGGGCACTCCGACGATCAAGTCAGTATATCTCTCATAGATAATCAATAGCTAAACTCATAAGCTTGAGCATAAAAGCATACCTTAGACCCATGAGGGTGCCTCTCCTTTATAGCCAATACAATCCTAGTCCCAATAAGAGCCTAGCCCTAATGGACTTAGGATTACTGCTAATCTGAGACTCCCAGTGGGATTAGGATAAACTCTCTAAGAGTCTTATTTTTACCCAAACTGAAGTCTTCTCCCAATCTAGGACTCTTGTCCCATATCCACTTATCTCGGATTTCGGTATCCTCGCAAATAACCTCGGCCTAGCCGAGATAACCTCAACATCATGACCAGGACACGTGGCACCTCGGCTGACACGTCGGTGTCACCTTGACCACGTGTTGGTGCTCAGAAAATATATCCCCACAATGATTATTCCATTAAAAGATTCATTCTCATGTTTAGTTGACTAAACAAATAATAAAAAAATCCATTTCAAATAGAATCATCATTTATTACTATAAAAAAATAATCATTTTATAAAGAAGTCTATAAAACAATCATTCAATTTCATTTCATCTCATTAAGTTGAGTGAGAGTACGAGTATGTTAGATTAATAGCGTGATGGTATTAAGTTTGAGATATAGGGTAAATGGTATGCACTAATTGAATGGTATTAATTAGTTAAGATTAAATCTATGAAATTACATAAAAATCATCATTATATAAAAGAATAAGTCTACTATCCTAGACTAATCCACCCCGATTTTTCTAGGCGGGTGTTTGTGTGATGGAGATTAAAATTGTATGGTATGAAATTTATATGTAGAATAAATATGAACCAAAAGATTATAATTCTGGACAATTTCTAAATTAATAAGTCTAAATTCATAATATAACTGAATTCAAAATATTTGAAAGTATGGGTGATTCACCAATCAATGAGAACAAATAAGGAAACGATAATATTTTTATTACTAAAATGTTGTTTAAAATGCAAAACAGATTCAATCAAAATATACCTTGCATGTGCATGTAAAGGAGAGAGACCAGAAGGATATGCCAAATGTCTCTTTTTATTATATTTAAATTTGGGTAAAAGATTTTGAAATCAGAAAATCTGAAAGTTATAACAGAGCTGGTACTTGTTAGGCATCCACACGTGATAAAAACTTACACAAAACCGATTTTCGAGAAGTTTCTCAATCTCTTGTGCAGTCCTTATGAAAAACCAACTTAAGATTTGGCTTCGTTCAAGTCTAGAATATTATACGTTGTCTAGAATATTATACAGAAGAAAAAAATAAATATTTCCTCATAAAATTGGATTAAGATTGTGTTTGATTTATAAGTGGGTGTTTGGGAAGTAAATTTTTTTGTAGGTTTTTTTTTTGTTGTAGGATATTATTGGAGAAATTTTTTTTTATGTTTGGAAAAATAATTAGATTTTTTTGTGGTTAGATGTGATGTTTGTGAGAGAAAAAGTAAAATAATTATTGGGTTTGATGTGATATTTTATTTGAATTTGTTTTTTTTTAATTTTGTAACCAGTTTGTTTTTTAGTAAAAAAAACTAAAAAAATCCAAAAAACTTCCTTTCCAAACATCCCTCTTAAATATAACTATATTTTATTTACATTTCAATTACTTTTCTCTTTTCTCTTCCAAATCTCCCTCAAATCCATAAATTAAACACAGCCCAAAAGATATGAAAGGGAAGGGAAAGAAAATTTGAAACTCTGCATAATGTATAATTCTGTAATTTTTAAAAGAAATATGACAAAAGATATTTCCTTATAAGGAAAAGGAAAACCCAAATTGTGAAGTATATCTTGTGGTATTTGATCCCAATAACTTCAGTACATATTTTATATGCATCAATTAATATACACACTAGTATACCAATTATAAATCATTAATATTGATCTCACTTATTATACAAATTACAAATATTTAAAATTTCTAAAATTATTCTACACCATCTATTAGTATAATAGTTAGTATATTAATTAATACATATAGCATTATTTCAGTCCCAAATCTTATAAAATGTCAAGGGCCCAACCTCTGTGTTAACGGGTTGAAACTGCTAGCGCCAGAACCAGCCAACCAAAACCTGCCACGTAGACTGACGGTTAGGATTTGAAATTTCAATATCTCCCGAAACGTTACAACCCTCTGTAATCAAACTCTGTTCGCATATATAAACACTCACACTCACACTCTCTCCGAATCCAACCAACTATCCTAATCTCAGATAAACGAATTCCCAAATACATTGAAAATCGTCTCTTCTTCTTCATATCGAGCAATGGCGTCTCTAACTTCCCGTCTCGAGCACACGGTGAAGCCCGACGCTCTCCGAGCCTACCTGGCCGAATTGATCTCTACCTTCCTCTACGTCTTCGCTGCCGTTGGCTCTGCCATGGCTTCAAGTGAGTTCTATCTTGAATTCTGGTTTTGTCAATTTAAAAATCACACTCTCTTTAATGGAACTTTTTTTTAAATAAAAATTAAGTTGCAATTGATGATATGACAGGGAAGATGATGCCGGATGCTGCAACAGATCCGTCTGCGCTTGTAGCAGTTGCTGTAGCGAGTGCGTTTGCATTCTCGGTGGCGGTTTATGCGGCGGCTAATATCTCCGGTGGACATGTGAACCCCGCGGTAACGTTTGGGATGGCGGTTGGGAGGCATATTAGTGTTCCTATGGCTATTTTTTACTGGATTTCGCAGTTGGTTGGGTCTGTATTGGCTTGTCTTCTGTTGAAAGTTGCCACCGTCTCACAAGTATGGAAAATTTGACTTGTTTCATATCATTGTCCTTTTTTATTTTATTTTATGTAATTGGAAACAAAAATAACAAAATTTTGAAATTTTGCTTTTTATTTTGAGCCATTTTTTTTTTGAAATATATACAAATTTGGTTTTTTATTTTAAGTTTTATTGATTATTGAAATTAGTTTTCTAAAATAGTACTTTTGCATGCACAAGAAATCTATGGATAGAAATAGTGAGGCTATGTTTGGTCTAATTTTCAGAATTTGTTTTATTTTTTTATATTATAGTTACCAAATGTTTACCAAACTAGTTTTTAAAGATTTTTAGAAACAAACTCAACCAAACAGAACCAGAATATTTCAGAGGTGGGTATGTTTTTTGAATTTTTTTCTTTACTTATATATATTCTAAAATAGTTCTTCTAGTGTTTTTTTGTAAACCAATAAACGAAAAAATTCAGGATCTGAATGTGTTCTTACAGTATTGTTTTTCAAATTCCATTTATTTGATTGCCGTAAATTTTTAAGCAAATGAGCATTGGCATTGCAGCATGTACCCGTCCATGGAATCCCACAAGAAATGACCGGGTTTGGAGCATCCATTTTGGAAGGTGTGATGACTTTCACTATGGTGTACACGGTGTACACAGCCGGGGACCCGAGACATGGTCCGTTGGGAGCAATTGGACCCTTAGCAATCGGCTTCATTGTAGGAGCCAATGTATTAGCATCTGGGCCATTTACGGGTGGGTCAATGAACCCGGCATACTCATTCGGATCTGCTCTTGTTGGAGGGAGTTTCAAGAACCATGCAGTTTATTGGGTCGGACCCTTGATTGGTGCTGCACTTGCTGGTATTCTATATGACTATGTAGTGTTCCCGGTGCAAGTACCCGGCATTGCAGATGGACTTGGGGTTTAAATAAATTCAGGGAAGTTACTGTTTTTCTTTTTTGGGTTGGGAGCGGGGTGTTTGTAACCTTTTGATTTTGGAAAATGAGTGAGAGCACTAATTAGTACTATCGCTAATGATGTGGCAGTGGACCCCACCAGGAATGATTTGATGTTTTGACTTTGGTGTTGTATTTTTTTTCTTTTTTTATTGAGTGTCATGTCATTAGTGGTCTTTTTAGAGCTCCAAAATTAGTGGTCTCTATCATTGTTGTTTGATTTTTGATGATTTGATATATAACTTTGAAAACAAAGTTGTTTTTTGACTTTCATTGTAGTAGCTAATAAATAATTGATTTTTTTATAAAAATTTTATGTTTTCGCAATGATCAGTACTTGTTACTGTTTGCAGTTTGGGGTTTGTATGAACGGTTTGAATTGTTAGTGAGAAGTATGAACAGTTGATTAATTTTTCACAAATTTAAATGCAAGTGATACACCCTATTTTGCCTTTTCTAATCATAATGCAAGTCTACATTTTTATTTACCAAAATTTTCACTTTGGTTTACGTTTTTTGAATTAGTTTTAAGTTTTTGAAATGAGTTTTGAAAAAAAAAAAATTTTGTTTGATTTTAAATTTTGAATTGTATTTTAAGTTTTGAGTTTTTGAATTATATTTTAAATTTTTTGAATTTATTTTATTTAAAAAATTTCTTAATTTTATTTTTTTAGGGCAAATATTTTTTATTGTAAATAATCTTTTTAATGTACGCTGCATTTACTATATTTGTACACTATATTTTTTAAAAATATTTTAAATTTTAAAAAAAAATATTTTTTGTTTCAAATTGTTTGTTTTATTTTTAAATATTTTTAATGTATTTTTAATTTTGTTGAATATTTTATTTTATTTATTTTATAAATATTTATTTTTTTAAAATTTAATTTTTTTTAATCGCCCATATATAAATCATAACAAATTATTTGGCCAACACTTACAAAAGTTCTTCAAAGAAAAAATAAAAAAATAAAAAATATTTTAAAGAACAACAAAAAAAAAATCAAGTTTTGAAAAGAGTTTGATATGAGTTTTGAAAAGATTTTAATGTTGTGTTTGGTTGAGAGATTTGAGGAGGGATTTAGAAAAAGAAATGAAAAAAGTAGGTGAAATATAAAAAAAAATATACCTACATTTCACATAGTTTCACACACTTTTTTCCTTTTCTTTTCTAAACTCCTCCCCAAATCCTCCAACCAAACACAACGTAATTGAGTTTTAAAAATTTTGTTGGTTATGAGTTTTAAATTTTTTTTTTAATTCAAATCATGATTCTAGTTTTTAAAAATTAATTCCTTCAATTAGTTTTGAAATACCAATTACATGACAAATTCAAATGGCTGAAACTAAAATGGTGTCTTCAATATTTTCACAAAGAGCATTTGCTATTTAAGTTCAAAAAATAGATTTAGAAAGTTATGTGGAAAGTGCTAGATCATTTTTTAACTTTTTATAAAAAATCGTAAAATATGGATTCGATTTGAAGTGATGTGGAAAGTGTTAGATCATTTTTACGAATAATCGTAAAATATGATCGAAATAAAATAATATGCTAAAATAGCACATCATGTCAAACAAAACCTTAATTTTCAAATTCAATCATGTAACAATCTATTAGAATATCTCAATTTTCTCTCTCATATCTTCTATAATTATTAACTAATCATCTATCATCTTACACATCATTAAATCTAAAAAATAGACTTATATATCATTTTTCTTTCACAAAAGAATGTAAAAACTATGTTTTAAAAATGTTATTTAATTATGATCAATGAACACAATGATTCGAATTTGTCCAGAAAATAGTAAAAGCTTTTAAAGCTGTTAGATTAATGATTATTATCTTTTTACATAGAGACTAAAATACTTTTTTTATTATTTATATTCCTCTCATTTTCATTCATTAATTTGCCTTTTATTATTTTATTTTATTATAATTATATAAATATTAATTTGCAATGCATACAGTATTATATAATTTTAAATAAAGAATTTTTATTTATTTGACTTATTATTTTTTGCAATAAATTGAAATGCATTTTTATTTTATTTTTTTTGCCGTAATTTATAGCATTAATGGATTTTTTTTTTGATATTATAACATTAATGGATTTATTCTTTTTATTTATTTATTTATTTATTTTTGTGGTTCTAATATTATAAAATTAATAGTAAGTGAAATTCATCAAATCTATTTTAAAGAATTGTTTGAAATAAATTGTGACAACCCTCACTACTGTTTACTGATAACACCACTGATTACTGCTAAACTGAGACTGCTCATGATAAGTAATTGAATTGATTGAAATTCTAAGTTAATTGATTGAGTGAGTTAGTTTAAATGTATGTCTATCTGTTTGACTGTTAAATTATCTGTTCATGTATTATGTTTAAATTGCAAATTGAAGGCCTTATCGGCAGCCGAATCTGAAATTGATTAGTGATTTATGTTAATTAGCATTTTTGTGATTTTATAGTATATTTAATTGAAATGTGATTTGGTATGATTAAATTGCATAAGTTGGACTTATTCACCAAATTGCCATGCTAGTGGGCCACTTTCTCCAACACCTTGATGCTTAAGTACACTTAGACATACAACATTTCCTCAGCCATCTTCTTGAGCTCAACCGACTAGAGAGAGTGAGAGAGTGAGAAAAACTTGATTTCAACCAATTGCTTGGAGAATTTAGAGAATTTGAAGGAGTCTTGCATAATTGAGCTTCTACACTTGTAATTCAAGGTCTAAGGTAGGAGAACCATCTTCTTGAGCTTGCATTTGAGTCATATCTTGCATGATTCATGGTGGTTAGGAGCCTAAGGTCATAAATTGGTTTAAGATGGTTGAATTGAAGCTTGAATCATGCATGCAGGTGCATTTCTTCAAGTTTAGAGTTGTTTTCATGGGAATTATTGCATGCATGTCCATATTTGGGTTATAGTCCATGAATTCATCATGTTTGGGAGTGAATTAACTCATTTGATCATGCTTTGGAAGCTTTGAAGTTGATTAAATTCATGCATGTTGCATGTTCATCATGTTCTTGATGTTTTATTTGAAAATGGTGTTTAATTGACTCACCCTTGGGCTTTGATGTTACAAATTGATCTTCAAAACATGTTATATTATGAGTTTAAAGTGTTTTTCTAGAAAATAGGCCCAAGAGGTTGGGTTTTGATGCATTAGAGTTGAGTTTTGAGCTTGAGGTTCAAATATGGAAATTCCAGATTTTGGACTCACGCTCGAGCGAAGAACTCCACACTCGAGCGTACGCCTTGTGTTCATGCAGTTCCCTCGAGCGAGGAAAGTGGCGCTTGAGCGTGAAATGCGTGTATCCAGTACTTTGCATGTGTTTACAGTCCGCTCGAGCGAGAGAGTACACGCTCGAGCGAGGACTTGTGTCTCACGCTCGAGCGTGGATCGAGCGCCCGTCTTGGATGTCCAGTACTTTTACTGTAGCTTACAGTCCGCTCGAGCGACGGAAGTCACGCTCGAGCGGAGCTCATTTGTCTGCATGTCCGCTCGAGCGTAGAAAGCCACGCTCGAGCGAAACCCCTGTTTTCTGAAAATTCTGAAAAGTGTTTTAAAGTGCATCTTTGCATCCTCATTTCATCCTAGGCACTCCTAGGCCTAGTTTAAGGCATCTTAACGAGGATATTGATGTAGAACCACACCGAGGCAAATTAGGGATTAAGTTATTATTTCCCAACTGTGTAGCTTAGTGTGTGTTCGTTCTGTAACTGTGTAGGGTTGACATCTGAGGACGCTCTAGTTGCTTATAGCTCAGTGCTCTGTGAGTAACAATGTTGTAAAGATATGTTCAATTGAGATTATTTTCTGAACAAATGATTGTACTGCTTTATGAAATGGCACTGATGTTTGTCCTATTTGTGAACTGTATTCGTGGCATCCATAGCAATTTACTGTTACTGAACTGTTACTGCTACTGTTACAGAGATCTCTGTTGGTTCCCATGGTTGGAACCACTACTGTTTACTGATATGATGGTCATCATTGACTGCTCGGTCTGTTAAGACCTACTGTACTGTTTCGCTATTGGATGTACCACATATGACTATTATAGTTTCTGAATGACTGTTATGGCATGAATTATGAGCTACAAACTGAATGACTGATATACTGATAAACGACTGTTTTCAATACTGAAAGGACATTCATTCTTGACCTCTTTACGCATATGTTATTCACTGGGCTTTAGCTTACTATTTATATATATATATATATATATATGTAGGTGTTCATGCACCGGACCGGAGTTAGGAGCGTCGGATTAGCTCTTGTTTTGTCAAGCCAACCATCGTGCCTCACCTTGAGGTTTCAAGTGCTGCCGAGCTAAGGCTACTTCGGGGTGTTTTAGATTTTCCCTTTCTGTCTCTGTATTGTATAGACTGTATAGACTCGTACTATACTGTTATGGTAGGGATTTGGTCCTTAACCTGAATGTTTGTATATGTATGTATAGTACTGTTTTGTTCTGAATGTGAATATGTTTTAAAAAAGTCTTTTTGCATACAGACTGTCACAGCTCATTGGACATTTTTTAATTACTGTTATGGCTTCCGCCAGCCCTTGTACTCTGTATTACTGTCTTACTGTTAAGCAAGCCTTCGGTAATCTCGAATTACTGGCCGGTTACGGTGCTAAACCCATAAGGGCGGGTTTGGATCGTGACAGAGTAGTATCAAGGCGATATTAAACCACGAGTTATACCGCACACACGTGTCCAAATGAGCTATAGGATGTCCTAGAAAAGTAAATAGGGCATTGCATGAGCATGAAAAGTGTGTGTGGCCATGACATGAATATCTGTGCTAATGTGCTAATGTGCTTAAGTATGCAACTGCCTATATTTATTATTGCTATAATTGCCTATAGTGAAATGGATAATGCAAGAACTACTGATGAAACTGAATCATCTGAGGCCAGAATGACAAGGCTAGAGAGAACAGTTGAAATGTTGACTGAGGCCTTAAGGCTGCAACAACAGAACCAACA